CCCTTTGGGATTTTGGCTGGGGGATGGGCGTGGGAGATGGCGCTGGTGAGTGCCTTTGTTCCCTGCAAAGCTGTGCTCTATTGTCCGGGGCTCAACAACTCTCCCTCCCATTGTCCTCCAGCCCTCCCACTCTCTGAGCAGAGCTGTTAACTTATAACCTTCCAGATGTTAAGTCCCACTTGCTGTCCGAACACACTCCATCTGGCCCCTCTGCTTTTGCAAGCCAGACTCGGGGGCTCTGCTTGGCTGGCAGGCCGCCCCTCCGCCGGCTCCCTCCCGCCAGTCCGTGCAGTGCGCATGGCCTCTCCGCCCTTCCTACCCTCTTCCGTGGGCCTCTCGTCTGTGCTTGGCTCTGGAGTCTCCATTCTGCTAGTCTTCTGGTGGTTTTCTGGGTTATTTAGGCAGGTGTAGGTGGAATCTAAGTGATCAGCAGGATGCGCCATGAGCCCAGCATCCTCCTATGCCGCCATCTTCCTAGGATCTCTATTCCTCCCAAAATATTTTCTAATATCTCTTGTGATTTCTTGTTGGCTGTGGTTTGTTTTTAAGTATGATGTTTAATTTCCAAATATTCAGAGGTTTAAAGAAATATTTTTTATTTCCAATATAATTTTTTTTTAATCTTTTTTTTTTTTCAACGTTTTTATTTATTTTTGGGACAGAGAGAGACAGAGCATGAACGGGGGAGGGGCAGAGAGAGAGGGAGACACAGAATCGGAAACAGGCTCCAGGCTCCGAGCCATCAGCCCAGAGCCCGACGCGGGGCTCGAACTCACGGACCACGAGATCGTGACCTGGCTGAAGTCGGACACTTAACCGACTGCGCCACCCAGGCGCCCCTCCAATATAATTTTTTTGTGGTCACAGAAAATAGTTTGCATGATTTAAATTCTTATAAATTTACTGGGAGTTGTATGGGCCTGCATAAAGTCTGTCTTCATGAAAATTCCATGTGTGCTTGAGAAAGAATGTATATTTTTGTGTTCCTTGGTGTAGTTGTATATAAATGGCAATGAGGACAGAGTGATTGATGAGTGTCTAGATGTTTTATTTTTCCCACTTTGAAGGCATGACTTTTTAAAGGATCTCTACTGAATGTTCCCTACCTTACAAGGTCTCTCCAGCTGATGAATTCATGAGTGATTTCCAGCAATGTGTAAATTATGAGAATTATTTGTCTTATAATTTCCCAGTAATTGTACTTTCCCTAGATGTTCTTTACTTATCTTTATGATATTTTACATTACACATGTATAGGTTAATACTTGGCCAAAAACTCAAGAGAACTCTATGTGAATTTCTGAAGGCATTATTTTGTTTGTAGCTCTAACATTTTTTCCACAAAATTCTAACCACTCTGGCCTCTCTGAACTCTGAACTTTGTATCCTTAATCAGTGAGATTACTGGACTAATATTTGGGATCTCAACACTATTCCATAGTTTGCTAATTTCCTCCATGCAGAAATAGAGACAGTAAGGATTGGCTATTTTGTTTCACTTTTTGCATGTAGTCCTGTGCTGCCTATCCTTCAATGTCATAGTTCCATAATTTTTGTTCAGTTTTCTAGTTATTTATAGCATGAGAATAATAATAATTTATAGCATGAGAATAATAAATAGGCCATGTTTCCCTCACACACAGCCAAAGTAGAAGTATCTGGTTGTTCTTTTCTTTTTTCCTTTCCTTTCCTTTCCTTTCCTTTCCTTTCCTTTCCTTTCCTTTCCTTTCCTTCTTCCCTCATTTCCTTGCTTTTTATTTCCTTCTACCTCTCTTTCTTTCCTTTTAAAAATTTTAATCCTTCCTTTTAGTACTATTTTACACAAAGGAACAATTGTCGATTAATACTTTAGATAACATGTGTTTTCTCTGTTATTGTATATGTTTGTTTTCCTAAGGGCTGACTGCAAGCTCTGTGTACATGTTCATGTTGACTGGCAGACTTCACTTTAAAGAATTATGTAGGTTGGGGTCTTCCAATAAAGATCCCTACAATGGTGTGCCAACCCCTATCCTAGGTGCACTAGCAGTTTCCAAGCAGGGAGGTCAGTTTCTATAGAGATTTGTTCTTCAGTTTAAAAACAAATGCATTTTTTTTTTAATTTATCTTGGGAAGCAGGGAAGAAAAGAGAGAGAGTGAGAGAGAGAATCCCAAGCAGTTATCACACTGTCAGCTTGGAGCCCTTGCAGGGCTTGATCTCACACACTGTGAGATCATGACCTGAGCCAAAACAAAGTTTCGGTCACTTAACCATCTGAGCCACCCAGGCACCCCTCATTCTTCCAGTTTTAATTGAGTTGTAAAAGTTGCTACTCCTTTTTATGTGTGGAAATGAGAAAAGTGAGAAGAAGATTAAATTGGTTCAGGAATTCCTTTTCAATCCTTTAATTAATTTTGCTAAGTAATGTCTAATATTCTATTACCTGCTCCATACCTGCCCGCTCTGTGCTTGGGGCCTCCTAGGAGGCTATGATCTACTAATAAGGTCATATCAAATCCTTTTTATAACCTTACCTTAGGGATATTCTGGGCCACTGTTTTCTCTGGTCTTTAAAATTACTTTAAAATTACTATCATTTTTTTATTCATGGCTTTCTATCTTATTCTCAGCCTTACTGATTTATTCCCTTTAATACCTCTACCCATCATTTTCATGGAACTGGGGGGGGGGGAGAGAGAGGCAAGTATATATGCTCATTATATCATTTTTAATTAGATTCTCTTTTTGAAAATGTAATGACAATCACTTAGGTTATTTTTTAAAAGGTACATTAACTTTTAGTGATTAAAATATACCCACTCCATCTCTATGGTTTAATGTCTATTGAGGGAATAAATAACCATGTTGATATAGATCACTTAGAATTGAACCAAAGCCTAAGAATAATTCAGATTATTTCAGCACCAATTGGTAATTGGTTTTTATTTATTTCATTGTTACTTTGTTTGGGGTGCCTTAAGAATACAGATCATCCCCAAGTTTTGATTGTTTGCCTCATGATTTTTTGGCTTTACAATGGTGTGAAAGTGATATGCATTCAGTAGAAACTGTACTTTGAATTTTGATATTTTCCCGGGCTAGTGATGTATGCAGTATGATACTGGTCAGAAGCAGTGAGCCACGGCTCTAAGTCAACCACACGGTCATGAGGATAAGCAATCAGTACATTTAAAACCATTCTGTTTTTCACTTTCAGTACAGTAGTCAATAAATTACATGAGATATTCAACACATTATTGTAAAATGGACTTTGTATTTGATAATTTTTCCCAACTGTAGGCTAATGTTTAAGGTGGGCTAGGCTAGACTATAATGTTAGGTAGGTTAGGTATATTGAATACATTTTCAATTTATGGTATTTTCAACTATGAGTTTATTGCTACATAACCCCATTGTAAGCTGTGGAAGGTCTGTAGTCATTAACTTAAAAAAAATGCTTGGGTGCTATGGACAAAGGTAGTACCACACACTCAGAATTATACTTTTGCTTGATGCCTGAATTTGATTATATACATATAGTGGACAAACTGAATTTTATTGTTAAGTTTGTGGCTGGGTTGCCTTATTTTCTGATAGGTACAAGAGTAAACCTCAGGATGACTATGAAGATCCCAAAGATGTTCAAGCCATCAAAGAGGCCCAGTTGTATATGGGAGACTTCAATCTGAAGACAGCCCCAGACTACAAAATACCTGAGCACATGAGAGTAAATGCTGCCAAGAAGGAAGAGGAGCTGGGACATCTAGACTCCATGGTACTTATTACTCATTGCTTACATGACAATGAGAGGCACCCTTGAGTTTTTAGTGGTATTCTGTGCTGAAACCACTTGTTTCACTAGATAGTCTATAGGAATATATAGTCATAGAAACTTAGAAGATCTTCATGATTATTTAGAATAATGCCCCCTTTTTACAAATGAGGAAACTGAGGCCCAGAGAGGACAAGGGATTTATCTGTGATTATTTAGTTAAAATGGCAGAACCAGCCTTCAAGTTAATTACTTGACTCAATATGTTTCATGGGTTAAAGCTCTATATTTTAGAGACTTTGAATTTCTGAAATTCAAACATGTCCTTGGCTGCTGTAGACTTCCAAAGACTTAGGGGAAAAGGCCATTGTTTGACTTTTTTTTCCCAGGACTTATAAATTTTTTAAGTGTCTCTATAATAACCTATTAACATATTCCTTTTTAAAATTTTTATCTACATTCTGCCAAACTGCTTCCAATTATCCTGATTTCTCACCCCCCCTTTTTTACTAAAGTCTCCTCTCTCTGTCATAGTAATTCCTTAATTTGGACTGAAAAGTGACTTTTCACATTTAGAGACTCAGAAAGTATCTGAGCTACCATTTTGAGGAGAATGTGGTACATGGCCACCTACTATGGCCATGCAGTTTGGACACTACAAGGCATCCCATTGGAGAAAGTGCCAGTCATACCACGGATCTAACATATTAGAATATTTTATAATTTTCTAGCAAGTGGCAGTAAAGTGTCTTCAGGAAAAAAAAAGTCTTTCAGTTTCACCAAAAATTCTATATGTGCCAGAAGTAGGAGGATCCTGGTATGGCAAATAATATCCATAAATAAATGTTCATAGCTCATAACTATACCTTTCTGTTTAAACAGACATTTTGAACATTTTCTTAGTGACCATTTAGATTGTTTCTCTTTTTTTTTT